AAGATGTACACGTAGTGTTAGGCGATTCTTTGAATTTTTCGATTTTTTTTTTTTGGTAGATTTAACATCGAGGCGTGCAGAAATGTACACGTAACGTTAGGCGATTCTTTGAATTTTTCGATTTTCTTTTTGGTAAATTTTAACATCGAGGCGTGCAGAAATGTACACGTAACGTTAGGCGATTCTTTGAATTTTTCAATTTTTTTTTTGATTGGTATACGTGTATACTATCGTGCGCAAGTATTTGAAAACTTTTAAATTAATGCAAACGCGCGAAGAATAGAATTCGCACGGATGTTTTCAATTTAATTGTAACAGTTAGTACAACATATATAATATTAATTAGTAGGAACGAAAAAGTAAGAATTGAATCTAGCTGAAGATTAATTTTATTCAAACATCTTAAGTGATTTTTTTTTTTTTTTTTAAGTATATTCGTTCAGTTGTTGAAATATCACAAGTTTTTTTTAGTTAAACATCAAAAGGTTTATACGAACTTTACGAAGTGACAGCTATTAAAAATGAATGGTGGAACTGAAGTATATTTGCATATATCAAGTGATTAAATTTGATCTCATTTAGAATAACGAAATACGCAGGAAATTAATAATAGAAATATGTTCATCGTAATTGCGAAAACGAAACAAAAGTATCAATTTCGACATGGAATTGCACCAGGTGCTCGATTATCTATGCACGACGGTGTAATTAAAGCCTTCCCATAATTAATTAACCAGAATTAACGGAGCAGGAGAAACAAAAACACGCCCGGAATGGAATTTCCAGATTCCCGTTTTTTTCATATTAAATTTCATTTGTTCAAACAGAATTCAAAAACAACGTCGAGTTATTTCAATATCTATTATAAAATCACCGTGCCTTTCAACGTAACACTGCGAAAATGAGATTAAAAATTCATCAGGCATACCCGGGGCTCAGGTGATTCCAGATTGAACAGGAATTATTAATAGAAGATTATTCTGCACGTGAATGATAAAATGTGGAGTGAAATTTTTCTCGCGAGACACTTCGTTCGCACGATTAAATTAGAAATTAAATTCAAATATTTATCAAGTACGTGTGCAGCAATTCTTATAACTCGAAACATCCAAACTTTGTTTTCTCAGGATCTTATTCCACAGGATCTCTTCCAACGATTTATTTTATCCCACATTTTCCCCCTCATCTTTCCACGAGCTCGCATATTCTACAGATCTCGCTGAAATAACAAGATTATTGGAAGTTACATTATGGTTCTAAGTAATCAAATTTCCTTCGAAA